TGATACTGACTTGTTGTATAGCTTTACCGAAACTAAAAAGGAACCGGTAGACTTACCCAGAAAAGCACAATATTTATTTTGGCCATAAAAGATCGATGCCTCCATATATACATTATTTAAGTATACAGTCGGATATTTACATGGCCATAAAATATGCAAGCGTACACATGTAACAACATCCGCCTGCATATGAAATAAAAGAGGCAGCTGGAGGACGAAGGAGTCAACAGACTCGTTGTGCACAACCAACATGCAAATGCAGACAGATGTGGCAAATGAACAACTACCAACTAGAGCAACAACAGCCGGAAAAACAATGGAGCGGAGTAACTTGTACAGGAACAAGAGACAAGTGACAAGCAACGCCAAAACACGAAAGTGTAATCAACGCTTAAACACTCGCGACGAGGAGCGGGACTCTAACATGTCCCTATCTCTCTGCCGCTGCACTAATGCCCCTATCTACACTTCTTACTTTGCGTTCTAAAGCCCTTATTGAATGGTGTTCCTATTTTCACTTTAATTTTATGTTTTTAAAAGTATGAATATAAAGTTTTCATGAAAGGCTATTATTACAAGGAGAAATTATACTCTTAATCATGAAATAAAACTAATATATACCATATATGTATAAAAAATAAGAAAACGAAAACGGAAGCATCCCTTTTTCTACCTCTTTCTTGTCAGATCTATCCTGCTCTCTCCGGACATTCCGTCGCTAGATGGCGCTGCAAAAAGACAGTGGGACAAACATTGCGACACATTAATGTCAAAACTCATGAAAATATTTCAACTCAGAGCGGAGGATCACACACTTGCCCGTGGAAAGGGGAATCCAGCAAAAGAAACAAAACAGCGATGAGAAAAACTCACTAACAAGCATCATATGCCAGCTGAAACGTCAACAACAATGCAACATTCTCACACACACACACGCAGCTCATTAGAGCCATGTCATGGATTGCGGAAGGGGGCTTGGAGGTGCTGGAATGTTTAAGGATTTACTATCCCGGCTTAGCAGAAGCAGCAGCCGGAAATGCAGAAACAGCAACAGTGGAAGCGTCAAAAGAAGCTACAGAAATTGGAACAACAGTAGCGCAAGTTTCACCAGTACAGTAAAAACTCAAGAGGAAGGGTTAGTAAGTGGTTAGTCATTAAATATAATATATATTATGAATATTAAAAAATAATATAATTTAAAAAATATGTGTTCTTATTTCTAAACCTAATCGATAAATCAATTTAAAATATCTTTCCAAAATAGATCATAAAAATTGAGTGATCTCTGTTTTATGATTCCTGTCTCGGGATACGCTTCGCCGCTCATCCTGCCACTGTTGAAGTTTCAACATTCATTTGTTTCAAGCTTGTTCAGTACTTTTCGTTTTGGATTTCCATTTGGTAATGCTCTACAAAAACATAGTTTGGCATATTTTATTAATAAAATTTCTTTTTATATTAGTAAAATACCTTTTTTTTTCGAATTTAATATTATTTCTTTAAATTTAAAAAATCAAAACGTTTTAAGACTATAAAATTATAAAATTTACACTTTATTCAAGAGATTTTCTATATAAATATTCCTTTGTTAAAGGAATTTTCTATAATGGTTACGCATTGCCAAGCAAAAGATTGCATAAATTCATTGAAATTTTACGGAACACTAACCTTTTTTGGCCAGTATTCAAAGCGATGTAGAAGAGTATTCAAGCTGTTAACTGATGAACCGTGAGAGGCCTTTTCAGTTTGCTGTTGCCTGGCATTTTATGACAGTTACAAAAAGTTGCCTGATGATGTAATGTTTATGTGTCGCTGACACTGGCACACTGTCTGTTGTTTTTCCGCCCCATCACCATCGCCACCCACTGCCTACTTTCCACGAGAGGAAGGGGCAGAGACACCAATGCAATGCCCGCCGTCATAATTGCACCTGCAAGGCTAACAGTTGCAGACAGTGAGGCGTTGGGAGTGGGAAAAGCAAGGGGGTTTCCCGGGAAAAGAGGAGAAGGACGAGTAGCAGGAGCAGCTGCAAAAAAAAAGACGCACAAGGAACAATGACACGACAGAAATATGCCAAGTAGCTGACTCTCCAACTCCCGCATCCTCGAATTTGACAGCGGAAAAGCGGAGTGGTGGTGGATGGGGGAGGAAAAACTGGGAGACATATGATGCATATCGCAAATGTCGTTTGCTGTCAGTTTCCGGTTGTTGCAGCAGCCATTTTGTTTATGCATGAACACGAACGCGACTGCAACTGCAACTGCAGCAAAAAGAAGGCCAAAAAGAGTGGATGGGAAAAGGTGCAGTGGCTATGGAAAAACCAAGGGGAAATTCTGATGAGCGGCCAGTGGGCGGACAGGCTTGGGACAGGTGGCCCAGGGTTCAAGTGTAAACTAATTTCGCGCTTTGCACTTGGTTAGCTCGACATTGAGTTATGATTTTCGGTTTCCTTTTGGGGTCAACACTCATGGCACGTGATGCCCGGCTTTAAGTCATATTTTATGGATACCGTTCGCTCCGTTATTCCCCCGATCCCAATACCATAGTCCACGTTTTGACAGCTTCACGCTCGATGGCGGTTGGTCAAAAGGGTAAACTGTCCCATAAGTGCGAACAAATGGGGTAAATCAATCAATCAATCACTCAGGTTGACATTGGGGATTCGATCTACTGATTATGATTTTATTACTTTAAAATGTCAATATTTGTACCGAAATGTATGTGTTAGAAAATAAATGTAATTATATATGAAAACTTGATTTAGTATTTTCCGAAATTAAAAAAAAAAAAATTTGTATAAGTAATAATTTAGCAGTCTTTAAGTCCATCCTATACTGTTCCTTGAATTATACATTATTAAACCACTTGAAAAGTATGGGAGACCACGAAACTCATTACACGCTTGATTACTGATAAACAATCGCCAGAAACGTCGATTGCCATCGACGAATGTAGGACTCACTCCCTCCGATGGACATTAAGTCTAAGGCTCTTCAACTACCGCCGATTGCAATGGACAATTGCTTTGTATCCTGGTTACTGAAAAGCATACACATACAAGGACCCAAACAAGGACACACTTGATCGGGTTGACATAAGTCACGATGACTGGCCACAAGCTTTGGATGATGATTAGGACCGGGCACTTGGAAGCCACTCGAGTTGATTCGCCAGCATGACGAACCACTTTCCGGACAGAATGTTAGGGCCAAAATTTTGATATACCCTTTTAATAAAGTTGATAATAATTAGGTAGATTAACTTAAATTAAAAAAATGTTCTTTGATTTCCTCAGAAAAACTGGGTTTGATTAGTATAAAAGTCATTTAGATTTTATGATCTCTAATGCTTGAAATGGTAACTAAATCATGGTTGGTCATGATTTTTTTCAGTTGTCCTCTAAAAATAATTAACCCTTATGTCTCCTAATAAAGTGAAACTTTCGACCAGACATGTCAGCATGTGCAGACTAAAAGCAAACGGCAATTAAATGTCATAAAAGTACCCGCAATGTAGTAAAGTAGGGATTGATATCTCTTCGCTCTGTTTTTGTTGAACTTGAGACGGCGGGCAGCTGGGACTGCAACCACAGCCGAGGGGTTCAAGAAACCGAAGAACGTCTAGACAATTTCAGCTTTATCCTTCTCAGACAACAAAATTAGCTGAGCTCGGATTTTTGGTGCAGATCATATGACGTGATATTTATTTCCATTTCATGGCCGAAAGGAACGTTAAATTAGCAAAAACAGCCAGCGAAGTCTCAGCTGCGCATTTTATCGCAATTATGACATGTGGAATGGAATAATTTAAGGGTGAATCAAATAAATATGTTTTAATACCATGGATTCCATGGTAAGGCCCATCAGTGTAAATCACAAAAATTCAATTAAACATGCAGAGTTCTTGGAAAATGGGAAAAATTTTATAAGTATAATAAGACTAAAGTTGGCCTTCATTTTATTCAACAAACCGACTTTTACTTGAAGCTCTAAAGCCTATCGAAAACCAGGCCGACAGAACATTAACAACGAAAGTAAAAGTTTGCATATACTTTTGTAATTGAAATATTTCAAAAGAAACAAAAATTTTCACATATATGAGACCGCAAACTATATTGGGCTGTATATTATTTCTTGTATCATAACATAGGCTCACACACAATCGTGTTGCGCAATTGTTATGGAAAGTTGTGTGTGTAAACGAAAACCGAACATGAAGTTTTAATTTTAAATATTTTAAATTGGCACTGCTGGAATTTTGGAAGGATATCAAATACTGCAGTTGATGTGTTATATTTTATTTATTATAATAACATTTATTTTATGTTGCTTAAATTAAATAGTTTGTTGAGAAAAATGTATTTTATTTTAAATACATAGTATAGAATTTTATATAACTAAATAGTAACATTTCCTAGCTAAAGAATACACTAGGACGTAAGTGATAACGTTAAGCACAACTTTTTGAAATAATTTCAACACATTGTCCTTATAGTTCTACACTCTTCTTTCCTTTTATCCTGGCCAGTGAGAGGACCCCGTTAGATGTCATTATCGTTGTAGGACACTTAGTTATCCCTTTGAATGTCTTTCGTCCTTTCATGTGTGTGCCTGGGTGGGTTTGTTCTTTTATGGCCCTAATAATTGTGCGGTCTCTGGGTTGAGAAAACTATACTTTTTAAGCTGTGCTGGGCAAAGGAAGCGTTAAATGGAGTCATTTCAGATCACAGGCGATTATGGTTATTTGGTGTCTAAATTAGCTAGGACGCGTTAGTGGAAAAGGGTTTGTTTGACTCCAAGATTAGAATAATGTATACTTCTGGGATTATGTAAAGACTTAGATTTTCTAATACTTTTAACAAACTCAGGCTACCTGAGCAACCAGTGATATAAGGAACATTTCGTTTTTCATTAAATTTCTTTGAAACACATCTTTAAATCGTCTACAAAAATATATCTTTGGAATTTCATTGTCCACAATAATTGATAACATTGATGGCGCCTATTTTGCTCCACAAATAACTTTATTAAATATTGAAAACCAAACCAATGAACTCTTTTTGTATCTATTTAACCAATTACATTGGCAAATATTTTTTATTCCCAGGTCATATATTATAAACTATGCATAGCATAGTCCACTTTTAATAAATTAATGAAAGCTTATAAAGTGCGTGTTTTTCCACCACGAGACTTTTTTAAATCCGAACGGACACTCCCTTGTATAGAGTGGAGGTCTATTTTTTCGCCGCGGTCAATGACCTGTGTACGTTTTTCTTTTTCCAAATCTTTTTTTTTTAGTTTTGGTCTTGGTTTCTCCTCCTCCTCCTCCTCCTCCTTCTGCTCCTCCTCCGGGAATTCTTCAGGTAGAGTGGGTGGTGTGGTTGGATGTACCGATTCGATTTCAACAGGAACATACAACACCGGCGTCCCATCAATATCACCGACAAGCTTCTTGTAGCAATGATGAGTAGGATCAAGTCCCGGCTCTGGATCCTCCTTGGGCAAGCTATCATCGGAAATGTGTGAAAATTCGCTGGACCGTTCATACTGGAAGGTAGAATAAAATTCGACTTGGTCGTCTTCGCAGGGAGAACACTCCTCGGATACGGTTTCCGGAACATAGACCTTATAATCGCTTTGTCGACCTTCCGACGATGAGGTGAACTCCTCGCGGATAAGGCGCCTGGCCAACTCTACCGTTGTGTACTCATTGTAGTGCAATTTCCGGCGGCGGGTAAAGGAAATACGACGCGCCCTTTCAAGTACAGTCTCTGGGTAATCTAAATCATCGGATTCATCTGAACTGGAGGGATCCTTCGGAAAAAAAGCCGGCATAGCGGTCTTGACCTTTTTTTTAAGCATTTCAGCTAGTTCGATATTTGTTATTACGGTTTCTTTAATTTTCTCTTTTGATGTCGTTGAACCGCTTCTGACTTCGTAGGAATCCGAGTGAACGGGAACTCCCAGGCACATCTGGTCAAATGTTATTTTCTTGGCCATTGAAAGTAGTAACACTTCGTGTGCGTAGCCTTTATTTATAGACTTATGTTAAAAAATAATTTTTAGATAGGTTCGAAGTTGACTGGAAAGAGTATAGGCTTGTAATGAGGTTTGCTCTTCCTGCTTAGTTTTAATTCGATGTTTATCCTTGATGTTTCGTTGGCTCAGCAAACTAGATCGAAAACATTTCGTATCAAGAGCATTTTATTTAGGTATTTTTAAACTTCCTTAAAATACACTAAGAATTCCTGTTTCATCCAATAAGCTTAATATACAATTAGATTAAAGTTGTAAATTGAACTGTAAGTAATCTGCACTTAACAGACCTTAACATTGGGAGTTTTTTTACCCTAACAGTTGCCCCTATCGAAAATTTGTTTTCTGTCTGGGCCCATGGCTACTAGACTTCGTTTCGTTAACATCAGAGACCCGCTTACATTTTATAATTTTATGTCAAATTTTTTTCCCTCCCGACGCGGGTTAAGGTTTGACCTTTGGTGCCAGTTGACACGACAAAAGGGCATATCTCGGGAAAAGAAATTTGTTTTCCAGCCAATTTCGATTGTGTCAAAAGGGAGCGTTATTTATTGGACCGCAGGCGTCATTGTCTAGCCATCGATGGGAATAAATATGCCAGCGGTGTCTCACAAGGATGCATAAATTGTCAAATCTAGATTTCGGCTTTCGATGAATTTAATTGGATCGCAAAAGTTTTCTTCGCGTAACGCCAAAACCGAAAATTGAGCTGTTGAAACGTGACATTTCCACCAACTCAAACGGAACCGCAGCCAATACGCATACAATTAAACCGTATTTTCGGCATCTGGTTTTGAGATAAAAGTGCCTTTTTTGGACACACCATTTGACCCACATTCGAAGAAGGAATTTCGCCAAGAATAAAATGTTTATTTTGCATTTTATGCCAAAAGAGAGAGCGCTAAAATTATTTACGCAGCATCAGGCGTGTCATTTGCATGTGCCACGCCCCCGGCACCAGTCACGAAAATTTCAAGGCGAGCAAACCACCCAATGATGCCCACAAAAATACGCTAAAAGTATTTACATTTGACTCGGAAAAATTATACATTTCCGTGCAAATAAAAAGCAAATCCAAAGCATTTCAGTCGGCGAATGGGCGAAGGGGCGGACAGCATCGAGAAAATGCCCGGAAATAAAACCAGAATCCGAACCAGAAATAAGATTAGAGATCTCCTAATAACATTGGTGAACTTCAGATGCTCTAGGGTATATATTACTGCAAAAAGTATAGATGTGATATGACAAAAAGAATTAATTAAAATGTAAATTATTTAGGCCAAGAATAACTCCTGAAAGATGTATTTTAATATTAAATCTAACAATAATTTATATAAAATATATAAACAAGTTCTTAAAAAAATATTTGAAAAAAATGTCATCATATTTAATTTTGCCATTAAAGTTAAGGTGTCGCAAACAGTTCGGAAGAATTTTGGCAACTCCTTTGCCAAAGGACAAACGGCAGGCGTGGTAAAAGGACGCGCGTTGCCAAAGAGGAAAAAGCTTCAAATCCGCAAACAAACACTGTGACAGCTACAATGCGGGAACTGAAAAGTGGGTGTTGTCGGGTGGAAAGCTCGACTGAATGAAATGTACTCTCTATTGACATTTGATTCGGCGAGTGAGGCTGAAAAATAAAAAAAAAATATATATATATATATATCTGGATGTGCACAAGTGCAAAGCGGACCCAGTTAGCTCCATTTGCGGGGTAAATGCGGAAAAGAGGGCAACGGGGTTCTCTACTTTGTTGCACAAAGCCTTGCTCAGATTTCGCTGAACGAAAACTCTTCGCTTTCCAATGTACAAGGCAGCCGTTTTTCGTTTCATTGTTTGTTTGTTTGTTGGTTTCGTTCCGTTTTCGCTTTTGTTTGTTTGTCTGTGGATTGTGCTTCCTGTTACAAGGCTTCCAGGCTGAGGATCCCATCGGCAACCCATCTCGAATCCCCTGTCCTGTCGTCTTGACGCATAAATTTGCCTTAATTTGTTGCAAAATAATTTCATTCATTTACGTGCTGCCATTTACATGGCTCTCGGTTCTCGTTGATAACTTATTTAAGCGCTTTCCCCCCACAAGCGAAGGAAAAACAAAATTTGAACAAAATAAATTATCAAACTGTCACATTGACGTATCGCCCAAGTGAGACAATCCGGGAAAGCCGAGGAACCAACAGGGAAAAGTCGAGCCAATCTCCTGGCCATAATCTAGAGCATCATGTTGCTCGTTTAAAGGATGTCAAAGGTTGGCCATATATCAGCAAAAGGCATCAAACGCAGTCGAGTCGAGGGATCGGCTTCAGCCCGTTAACAATTTCATGTAACAAATTCTTTGTGCCTGATGCCGGACATGGATACATGGCCAGGAGTGGAAGCCACTGGAGTGGGCAGAAAAAACAGAATTCGGAAAAATTAAATATACGGTTGGTTATGCCTCGAAGGAATAGGCTAATTCACAAAATGCTTACTATAACAAATAATAAAGAAAGTAGTAAGAAATATAATAATAAAAAATTAATAATTTTAATGAATATTTAAGAAATGTTTTTTTATATGATTATAATTGAATTATGTAAAAACATATATTGATAAACGCAATAAATATAGTGTTATTCATATATATCTATACAAAATATATGAATCGAATAAATTTTTTTGGAAATTGTTGCTTAACTGATTTTTCTCAGTGTGGACATTCGAGCTGTTTCAGATTTCCAATAAATATGCCTAGGGTGGTCGTGGTCCTTCGCCTGATCATGATACTGCTGCTGGTTCTGGTCCTGTTCAGTTCGGTTCGTTCTGGTTTGGTCTGGACACGGAACCACCGCACTTCCTGCTGTCTGCCACCCACTGTCGCTTATTTGACATCCTGACAGTTTCGACAGTTTGCCTCTCGTTTCTCGCTACACGACAAAGTGCGTAGGGACGCAGGACGAAGGACGACGGTCAGAGCTTTGTTTATTTATATGGTTTACTCGGAATATGTGTGCAGGTTACCTTGTGCCCGGCGCTGCGGTTTCTGTCGTAAACGTTGCTTTGTTATTGACGGAGCGGTAAAAGGGGGTATAGCGGTAAAATCGGGAAATGCCGCAGAAAAATATCCGTCGCACGCGGGGTTCAAGGTGTAGCCCAGCATGTGACAAGGATTCGAAGGTAACCCAGCTATCGGTGTGTGTGTATTTATGAACGCCACTGTTAGCCACTAACAAGCGGCTAAAATCTGTCGCCAACAATGGTAGTGGCAATCGTTGGTTGAACATGGGGTAAGATGTCAATCTAGCGGGGCTTTAATACGGTGCTTTGATGTGGGTATGATACATCTAGTGTTACTGGGAAATTCAAATCCCCCAGGGGCTAAGAGGTCCTTTTATATTTGTAATGCCTTGTCATCAGATAAAAGTCGTTAATTTATTTTATTCAAACTAAGTTTTTAAATAATGATATATACCAATGATAGTTAAGATTTTTGAAACCAAATTGCTGACATGTTAAAGACTTTCTATTTAATCCCTGAATTTCAGACATTCTTTTAAACCTTTTGCTTTTCGAAGGAATTGTCATCTGATACTATCTAATTTGTCATTAGTCGGCAACGTTGCAGAGATGCGATTTATGGCATGAGTTCTTAAAGGTAGCTAGGCAAGTGAAATGTGATATCTCACTACTCAGCTCGAATTCCAGTTCAGATTATCTGTGGATTCGGATTCGATCTAGACCGATTGGCACACATATTTTTCGCTTTTGTTTGCAATTATGCGGCAGATGGAAGGAGCTTTTAGAATGAGACGACTCCATATTCCCTCCCGTACTGCTATGAACTGGGAGTCTTGTTGACTTTACCGATTCCGCTGCAGGCCAACGGATGCTATGGCCACACAAGACAAACGGATGGACAGAAAGTTGTTTGCTTCATTGGCTGCCACAAAATATCAACAAGCATTTTGTTTATTTTCTCAACAGAGCACACACAAGCACACATCCATTAGAAGGGGTTGTGCGGGGTTGGATATATCTTGGCTTTTTTAAGTGCATGTTGTTTTAGCGTTTGTGACATGCAACTGCCGGGGGAAAATCGAATCGAACTGAACCGAATGGAAGCGAAGTTTCAGTACCAAATTTATGCAACTGCTATTGCATGAATCCATTGTTTAACCACTGAACTGCTTGGTCATTCGTCCTTCGGCTGAAGTGCCAGTTTTGAAGCAAACTGAATTGGCAAAGTGAAAAACCATCCTCCCTCTGACATATTTCTATATTGCTTGTTGATATTCCGATCGGCTTTTCACTTACGTTAAATACGTTTTCAAATGCGAAATAGGTAAACTTGTAAGAAAAATGTTTTCTACTCTTTCAGCTGTTTGTTTTACCAGAACAAGTTATAACACAAGTTGGTTCTTGTCCAAAACACAAATTTCATATATGTACTGTTTATAAGATCAAATAAAAATTGACGAATGATTTTTGAAATTTGTATATATGTATAGCTTTATAATTTGGAACTAAACCATACAGCTTGTGAGAATCGTATGCAGATGACATTCTCCTGCACATTTCCCTTATGATAAATGCAAAGTTGGTGGTAAATTTATGCAGTTGTGACTTTGCATAGTTGCAGTGAGTTTGGGTATCTGGCTGGGAACCTTGTTCTGAGGCTCTGATCAATGCCAGGGCCGTTGGCCATGTCAACGGACGGGGAACGATACGAACATAGCGTGGATGGGTGGCAGATACCAGATACCCGGCTCCAGATACGGTTATGGATATGGAGTAGCTACGGCCATGACTGCAATTTAAATATTGCATGTGCTACGATAGGAAGAGCCGTGACCAGAACGAGAAGCAGGAATGAGCCAGGACCCAAGTCGCAGCTTTAGTGCGGACTTCGATGCACTAGCAAAATACTCGTATTATTAATTGTTAACTTTAAGATTTTCGGAAACGATTCATATAAATTATAAAAAGGATAGTGGTGTAGAACATCAATAGATTTAATGGTAAATTATTTTTTACAAGTAGCTAGTAATAAATGTATATACTAAAAACCACTTCCTTTAATTTTTGTTGCCAGTGTAAAGCCCCATATGCGAGTGCCGCCAACACATATTAAGCATAAAATTGTGTGCCAAACAAAGTAACGATAAATTGGACTATGTAAAAGTAAGCAGAGCCTGCAGATGGAGTTGGAGCCGAAGGACGATGGCGATTGCAATGGCTATGGCGATGGAGATGGAGATGGAGATGGCGATGGAGATGGAGAGCGGGCAATCCCATTCAGAAAAGAGGGGCGTTTTTGGCAGGAAGCGTCGCATTATAATTTATGCACATGCAAGCCACGGAGTCTGGCCGGGGTCGTCTGGTCGGTTTTCTGGTGTGGTTTCGATGTGGTTCTGCTGTGGTTCAGGACCCGGGTCTGCCACTTAATCCGCGTTTAATAACACGAAGCCAGCGCTGCCCAGCCCCTGATCCCGATGTGCGATACGATTTTCTGAAAGGGGGTCCGTGGAAACGCCACTGCAGACGCTCCATGTCGATGGCAATTGCTTAAAGCGCTTTATGGCGTTCCTCTAGGCTGTGTACAGTTTTTGGGAGCGAATATTTTTTGGGGATTTATTTAAAGCTTAAAATAATATCAGGTTTCGATTCGGAATTTTAAAGAAATGGCTTAAAAAGTGCTAATAAATGGTAATAGGTTTGGTTCGGCTTTGGAAAAGTCATATCCGTAAAACTTAAAGTGCATTTAAAAGCATGACAGTTCTAAAAAGAACAATTTTAATGCAGCAGTCCAATCACTTCATTGGTAAACTACTACTAAACAAACTAAATTTCAACCTAATAATGATTACAAACTCTTCTTTTCTTTTGCAACCCGTCACTATTTATTTTTAATTCAGATGTTTAAAAAGGTTTTAAGCTGGACGTCCAGTAGGCGATTGCCACCGCTTAACCCCATAAAATGTGGCGAAATCTTTTGAAAATCTTTAACGCTCCAATGCCCCATTGAGGGAAATATTTTGCAGTTGGGCTTCGTATTTTTATTTTATTTTTTATTTTTTTTTTTGGGGTTCGGGATCGTATGTTATGCATGCCTACCCCAAGGGGTCAAAGGGTGAGAATGTTTAACCAAAGGCATTTTTATCAGCCGAGGTCTTAACACGCATATACAAATATGCCAGACACACACACTCACACACGGCTGCAGTCACACACAGAGGGACATAAACAAGTCAGCGTGTGAGTGTGTGCAAGGGGGTGAAATCGAGGCTGAGGCAACGTCTGCGGGTTAAAAGCGAAACCTTATCGAAAACGTTTAAACGCACGCAAATTCCACGTGGGCAAGATAAAACATGCATAAGCCAGGCTGGGGTGGGACTGATGGTGGGCGTGGCAGGGGGTGGCATTTTGTGGTTGGGGTGAAGGCCTTTTGTTCGGCTCACTCTGCTTGCGTGTATGTGTGTGTGGGAAAAATATGCCAATGTTAAATATTTGTCGCATGCTGTTGTTGCTTTTGTAGGGTGCCTCTGGTTTGGCACCCCTCAGATAAAACGTTAACTACACTCACACACTCAGATACGCACTCACACAGATACTCACGCACACACGAACAGGCGGTCTGGTATGTGTAATCTTTTGCGTGCTTTACGCATTACGCTCGACGAAGGACAACGTTGCAGGACACTTTGAATTATTCATTTACATGTCGTTGGTTCAAAAGACTAACTTGCTGGTCTTACCCTGTAATCTTAATTTCTAAGGTTGGGAAAATAAAAATTACAATTATAATTGTATGATAGGATTCCACCTCGAAAATTCATACCTTTATATCTTAACTTTAAGGTATTTAAAAAGCTAGTCAAGTATGAAATCTCTACATTTGACAGTATTTTGTTTTCCCAATTTCATTTTTATTTCATAGAGCCAATAAAATACAGGGTAAGTAGAAATATTAACGTTAAGAAAAATAATTTCCTTGTTTTATATACGCAATTCAGGGGACAGTTGACCCAATAGGGAAAGCTAAAGGTGGGCGGGGTGCTGCTGGGTGGGGATTTGAAGGGGGAAGGCCAGGTAAGACTTGT